GTGAATGTGATTTATAGTTCCATACAGAATTGTATATGTATGCGTATATATTTCTTATCGGGGTGGGGCTGGAGTACTCGGGAGTAAAGATCAGAGCGTTAGTGGGAAATTGGTATTCCCCGCTTACTATAGTTGACGTCGCAATATCATAACGTAACTGGTCGAGTGCGCACAATCAGTTGAAGGAAACGAACCCATCAAATCTGCACAACTATATATAAATTAAATAAGAGTTATCTCCGTCACAGCACAAACAGAGTACCATACTTGCAGCGTATGTTCGCCCCTCTCATAGGGTAGTAGCGATTTTCTAGAAAATAATTCCGGATTCCAATGCGCTTCATAGTTCCAGCGACACTTCCATCTTCCATATTTAGTCATTTCTTACCTACCTGAGCCTGTACTAGCCTCAGACGTGTGCTGCTGAGGGTCTCCGCCATTCGCATTATCGAATAGCAACTGCCGACTACGCTTGTTTGGTGCCGTTGGGGATGTATCTTCAGCACGCACAACCATGTTTGCAACTGTATAAATAGGGAGATGGTTTAATATATAAATACATATCAGTAATGTTGTACTATGTATACAGTGTAACACTACATATACAGCACGCACAGCTATATATGTTTGCACCTGAATAAATAGGGCGACAGTTTGATAATAAAGTATATACAAGTGAATATATCGTAGCTAATAAATAGTGCCACCATATGTGTGTAATGCATGAACAACGAATTCTGCGGTGGTAACCTCCGAATGCACAACCATATGTGCATCTGTATGAAGTTTTCATGGGTGGTTGAACAGTGGTGTGTGTCAGTGTGTGTGGTATATATTCACAGTGAACTCTGCGGAGGAACAGAAGACATCGCCACGCACATGCATGAGTGATATATACACACTGTTCTACTATGTATATATTGCATATACTAAGCATGCACAAGCATGAGTGCTATATAAATATTGTTCTACTGTGTATATATTGCATATACTCAGCATGCATAAGCATGAGTGATATATACATATTGTTCTACTGTGTATATATTGCATATACTCAGCATGCATAAGCATGAGTGATATATACATATTGTTCTACTGTGTATATATTGCATATACTCAGCATGTATAAGCATGAGTGATATATACATATTGTTCTACTGTGTATATATTGCATACTAAGCATGCACAAGCATGACTGTATCTGCATTAATAGAAACCTCTTGGTGTGATACATACGTATTGTTCTACTGTGTATATATTGCATATACCAAGCATGCACAAGCATGACTGTATCTGAAATAGAAACCCTATGGTGTGATACATGCATATTGTACTATTGTGTATATATTGCATATAATCAGCATGCACAAGCATGATTGTGTCTGTATTAATAGAAACCTAATGGTGTGATACATACATACTGTTCTATTGTGTATATATTGCATATACTCATCATGCACAAGCATGATTGTAATAGTAAGTAGGGAGTCACAGTCGAAGAACAATGTTAAAGTGTTTGCGTAGTACTATCGTGAATTCTATTGAATATTTCAGCCCCCACAACTATATGTTTGCACCTGTACTAAGTGCTGATATATTGATATTGTTGCACAGTAAAGATATTGCACTATCTCGGTATTGTGAAGCAATGGTCGCAATTATGCTATTAGAGGGGGTATAGGCCATTGCAAAAAGTGTTTTACTGTGTATATGTTATAACTACCTAGAACACACACCCATGTGTGTATCTGTATATAGAGGTTATGGGCTGAAGTATAAATAGTGTTGTACTGTGTATATAATATATATTATATCTACACACCGCACACACCCATGTGTGCATCTGTATATAGAGATTATGGGCTGAAGTATACATAGTGTTGTACTGTGCATATATTATACATATATATCTACACACCAAACCCACCCACGTGTGCATCTGTATATAGAGGTTGTGGGCTGAAGTATTCTGATGTATAATGATTGTTGTACAGACCATGTACTGGGTGTATATCGCACCTACAGGGGGATTCAGAATAAGCGGAGGAAATGTCCGTGATGGAGTGTGTGCAACATCAATAGAGCAGGTAGTTCGAGTGGTGCGAGAAACCTGACAATCGCCTCCATTAATTTGGAGAGGGATCTCAAGAACAACTGCATTTGAAAGCTTCCCTCATCGGATATCGATTCATCGTCAACAAAAATCGATTCTCGCAACACACCTGTGACGTCGGTCTATATCAGGGTCCTCCTCGTATCACACACCTTCCCAAGTTGTTTACCACTAAGTCATCTCTCTCTCTCTCTCTCTCTCTCTCCTTCGTCAATGTCTAGTGCAAGAGGTATACATACATGTTATACACTACACAGTAACTAGTTTAGGCTGTACTGCCCGCGCTATACACTACCAGTAAACAATATATACATATTGTATAATAATATTCGCCGGCACGAATACTTAACCCAACACCTGTAGAACCCTGTAGATTCCCAGTCAATATTTTGGCGCGCAATGCTGCTGCTACTTGTCATGCTAACCCGCTGCGTCCTCACGACACGCGACTCACGAGTCACAGACTCCCGGGGAACGTATTTAGGCGATAGGCCCACTATATACTGACTATGGCCTAACTCAAAACGTTGTTCGTTTTCAAATATATATTTAGGCGTAGCCCCACAGGTTTCCAGCTCATACATTTAAACGTTAACCTATTTAGAACCCGTAGAACACACGTTTATTTTTTTAACATTATTTATGAGACCAATACATGATACATAACTTTCTGAAAGTGTACAACATTAATAAATACTAATGATTATAAATTGACATATAGCACAAATATGTATCCGAAGTAGCTCAGATGGGAGAGCATTCGACTGAAGATCGAAAGGCACCAAGATCGATACTTGGCTTCGGCAACTTTTTTTTCTTGTCACACAGTCTGGACTTAGATGTGCACCTTAATTTTTCTTCTTGTAATAATATGTCATGACCTTCTACTAGAAAGAAAAATTGCCGCAACGGACTAACGGCTGTAGGAGTGCATATGTTAAATTTCCAGGAGGCTATTCGTATAGGCTGTACTTTAGCACATATGTTATTTTTGATCTTCCCCGTGTAGTCAATATTTCTGTAAAGAGTGGTCTCCGGCAGGTGCACAGGATATTCATATAGTTGTACAGTCTATGGGTGTGTTTTCCACGAGAATACCTCACAATACCTTGTGTTTGTATGCTGGCTGACCATGCACTTAGCAATCTTTCGTTTAGATATCTTAGTACGAATACCTAGGATCCGTTACAATATACGAGAATACTGTTTAGACATGTGGCCCTGCAGACTGACCGGTACTGTTCATGCACTAGAGGGCTTGTTCGGAATCGATTATACACAGTGTATATGTGCTTGTGAGCGTATTTCTTCAAAATATCGTAGCCTCCTGCATACGTAAATATATTTAATAAATATATATTGATAACACTAGGAATTTGGAAACCCTGCCGGGTTCCTTGATTTTTGTAAACCCTAAGTTTGATGAAGGCTGTAACATAGATATACTGTATTTAACCGCGTGTATGTATTTTTAATTATTAAAGGCAATTGCATGTATTTAAATATATATATATATACTGTTGTACTCTAGTACTGATTACAAAGAAGCGATCCTGCGAGATTACGATGATTGCGTTCAAGCAGGCAGCTATCACCGCTATGCGTTCACGGGGCTTTGTAAGCGCCACTGCTTGCGTACACAATTGTTCCCCTGCTTTAACGTTCAGAGTTAACACCTCGAGGTTGTCGTTGCCAGGAAATAATAGGTATTCAGTATGCGGTCGGTATGATAGTTCGAACAAGCGATGATTATTTAAAAAATTGTTTATAATCTTTGCTAGAATTGTGTAATTTATACTACTATTTACATGTGTGTAGTCCCACACTCTAGGTGAATGACAAAGAACTTGGAGTTTTAACGTTAAGAGCTACATACACATCACGCACGTGCGCTTTACGAATGCTTGCCGAATGACTTCCCTATACTCTCACGAACAACTGTATCGTTGATCCTTTTCTTATGGCCACACACTCGCCTTACGACTTTGTAGTTTCCAAAACTCTTATGTGTTACAACTCTGAGCACGCTCATTAACCTTTCAAATTGTTCGGCTTTAGCTAAGGTCCCCAGAATCATATCGCTCCCCCTCGAGCAGCATTCAGTGTACTACAACACCCTACGAAACACAGGAAAAGCACCAATCAATAGACCAATCGTAATACTTGTTAACTCAAATATACAGGGACATTCCAGCACACCCGATCTCGCTACGCACGTTTGGAACAAAGCCCAATACCGATGGAAAGGCACATGCGTGCGAGTGGCCTTCTTGTGGTTATGCTTGTGCTTTCCCTAGTACACTACGAATTCATATGCGTGTGCATACTGATGAACGCCCCTATCCTTGCGAATATCCTGGTTGTGGAAAGAGGTTCAAAATAAGCGGCGATCTGACAATACATACGCGTGTGCATACTGGGGAACGTCCCTACGCTTGCGAATATCCTGGTTGTGGAAAGAGGTTCACAACTAGCAGAAATCTGACAACACATACGCGTGTGCATACTGGGGAACGCCCCTACCCTTGCGAATATCCTGGTTGTGGAAAGAAGTTTGCAACCAGCGGCGGCCGGAAGGTACATACGCGTTTGCATACAGGGGAACGCCCTTATGCGTGTGACTTTCCTGGCTGTGGTAGGGACTTTACCCAGCTGGCTAATCTGAACTATCACCTCAAATCACATACTGTTGAGTCACTATAATGTACAGTTGCTCTTTAATAGCTGAACATAATACTACGTGAGATATACACCTGCAAGCCAATTAATTGTTGTGCATGCAATGCGTGCTACGCACTACACTATCGAGGTGTTTAACGCACACTACACTATCGAGGTGTTT